CCGAAAGACCAGCCCGGATTGGATGGACTAACACAAGTGATGAGGTTGAAGAGGATCAGGACTTAGTGCTGACAACGGGCACAAACACTCCGGCCCCCCAAACGGCAGAGATTTCTGAAGTTGAAAGAAATTTCGTACGTGGTGAGCAGAGTACCTCTGTGGTCAGCACTGAGGCCCAACAGATTGCCCTAACACCTCATTCCACAATCGCACAGTCTGTAGAGGGTTCCCGTATCCGGACCACTCCGTCTGCTGGACCGACAGAGGAGGTAGAGTTGGTCACACTCAATTCAGAAGAAGTACAGGAGGAAAGCACTTATCAGATATTTATTCTGGTCGATACGAACCCCACCGTGCACACGGGAACCGTGCAAGGAGAACCAGGACAACCATTTCGAAGCTTACTTTTCATGGAACGAATATTCTATCCAAACCCAATGTTTACCGAATCTGGTGTGGATTTGCCTAGCATAGATGAATCACATTCCCGGTGATAGGAGTTCAGACGACCTGATTGTGAAGGTCTATTATTTTGTGTATATGGTGCTGTCGTTATTAAGTTTCTTTGTTTCTGAGTTCGAACAGAATATTGTTAATTTCCGTTCCGTTCAAATCAGTTTCTGATAATTATTTTAACTGTCGCTTTGCAACTCTTTCCTTCTCTGATATTCTCGACAGTAAAGAAATATTCTGGATTTCCCAGTACTTTTTGTAAATTCGGTCCTAACTTCGTTTTCTGAACATCGGGATAGAGAAGAAGTTTAGGGATTTCACTTAAACTTCTAGTTGGATATTTCAGGCTGGATAAAAAAAATAGGGATTTATAGTCATTTTTTTATCTAAATTATAATGTTGGTGCATCATCTGTTATATACTGCATTGATATGATCCAACCGTGAGAAGTTGCAAACTAAAAATACGGGGTTTCATTTCCTCGACTAGTAAAAAAGTACATGTACACATACAAACAGGACCGTACATTCCTCCATGTGCACTGAAAGCCTAGTCCAACGGTGTGTTTGCACTATGTGATGAATTCCATGATCATGTTATACCTACCCTTCAGTGTATATTCAGCACCTCATGTATTCTGTATTTCCTATTTTTGCCTTAATAATTTGTTATGTTCGGTCCAGATCAACGAGTGCCTCCCGCTAAGTCCCCAAGGGGGCGAATGCGGAAGAACGAACGAACAAGAGGGAATTGTGTGATCATGATACAACAAGCGCAGGTAAAACACAAATCGAACATACGAGACGGACATAATAGCGTACCATTTAGCTTGTTCTCTTGATTCTCTAATTCGTTTTCTACAGAAGTTCAATCCGGTCTCGAATTGCCGTCAGTGCCGGGAGCGTGTTTGTGGCGTAGAGTGGTCCTGAGAGCGGCCTGGCGGATTTTAGTGTCTTCGTCATAACCAAACTGATAACAACTATACCAAACTACTGCTAGTATGATGCTTCCAGACAAATGCGACTGATATTTTGTTTTTCTTTCATCCAGGAAGTAAAATTTCATGTTCAATCGCAATGGCTGGTATTGGCACAGTCGAAGCTGAGATATCAAAAAATTGAATAATTACCGGAGCTCACAAATTTATATCGGTCACTGTGAGGCTATCAGCTACAGTTATAGAATTGTAGGGAAAAATCGAGTTTCTGTGGGTAGAATAGGCAGTATGCCGCTCGGAGCAGCCAAGAACAGATGGTTTGAATTAGTTCTAACGCTTCACGCGATATCCGCAACTTTTACTGGATCTATTCAATATCTAATTTACCACAGCTTTGTATTCTAAACAGTTAACAAGCGTTACATATTTTTTATTAAAGATTCTTTTAGAAAACGAGTTTTTAACCAGTATGTGAAGTATAAGAACATGGTGGGGTGGGTGGTAGTGTCATCACGTTTGTCAAAAATCAGTTGTCATCTGACCAAAAAGGTGTTTTCTTATTCTACACGTTATACAAACGTATCAGTAATTCAATGTAAGCCCAGACATTTCAGCTCCCCCCTCTGGCTCATCTAATGTTCTTATTGATTTTTATGACTCTCTTTCAACTACAATGATTGAATATGTATATGCTTCAGTNCCTTAGGTCTTCAAAACATTGTTACCTCTTCCACTAGGCTTGATGTACATCTGGATCTGGGTTTTATCAACCTTCCTAATTTACTTCTTGTGAAATGTAGCTCCCACTGGCAATGTCTGATCATTCTATGTTGAAGTTTTCCCCTACCACCTTTAGCAGAACGAACCATCGTCTCTTTACTTGAAGTCGTGACCACAAGCTTCAAGTAAGACAGCGTTCTCCAGAAAACCTCACTGTGCTAAGGCAAATGATCAGACAATCCAACCTTACTTTGTTTCCCAAACCCAACCCTTCCGTTTTCTGTGATCAATTAACAAGCTACTTAAACGTTTTTCACGATATTTGATGTGCTTTAGACTCAATTTATTTTCATCCCGATCGTTTCTCTTCCCCACACCTCAAACAACTCCGTCGCAGAAAGGAGCGTGCCTTCAAAAAGCATAAGCGGGACGAGGTGCGCTCCCTTTCTAATTCCATCTGGGCTGAAATTCCAAGGCTAAACTCTTTATACTCCCGTGCTCAGCTTGACAACAAAGGAAGTCGTGAGACATAGCAAGCCCTCAGGCGAATTTCTGGCATCAAATCATCACACCGCTCACCTGCTGCGGTGGCCATAGATGTTCCGAATCAGAGTTTCATCAACGGTGGAACCGCTCTCACTGCTCTACCTAATGGATATGAAATAAACCACCACTGATCCCGTCTCCAGCGTTGCACCTGTCGATATTTATCAAGAGTTGGCTCGAATAAATCCTCAAAATTCCTGCGGCCTCGACGGAGCCTCACACGCTGTCCTGAAAGAATGTGCTGCCGTCCTTTCCCCTGTACTGAGTGAACTTTTCAATGATTGTATTTAGCAGCAACGTATACCCGACTGTTGGAGAATAGCTTCTATCACTCCTTTCCTTCGGATCCCAGAGTTCCGTCCCACTACCTGCACCCCAGTTGTCTTGAAGGTGTTTGAGAGACTCCTCATTAAGACCCTGTCCACACAATTCAATGTTAGTGCCCCGAACCATTCCTGCGGTACCCTGGATGCCCTTGCTTACCTGTCCCACTTTGTTTTATCCAACCTGGATAAGAAAAGCAAGGCTGTACGCACGTTCATTTGACTACAGTGATGCTTTGAACACAATTGATCGACAAACATTGTTAAATGCCCTCTCTTCGGGTGGAGTTCAACCTACGATTGATCTCTTGGTCAACTATTTCTCCAACCGTCAGCAGTTCACAGGCTTCAAAGGTCGTACTTCTTCACTGCTGCCCTCCTCAAAAGGCGTACTGCAAGGACTGCCCTACCCCAACTCATCATTTCAAACTACTCTACAAGAAGACCTGTCTGAAATAGTTGGGTGGTTTCAACGAAGGAAACTCCGCACAAACCCCCAAAAATGTAATGACGCAATTTCCCATCTTTTTTAGCCTCAGTGATCAGATGGAACGACAACCATCTGTCAACAACCTGGGCCTTATTTTCAGTCGTAACCTCACCTGGTTTGAATACGTTAATGACGTTTTTCTGAAGGTCAGGAGGCTCACGTTTTATGTTTTACGTCTTGAATCACTTTTCATTCCAAACCATCTCACAAGGCTTTTGTTCTTGCTTGCATTTTGCCTCACTGGCTTTATGGGTCCCCTGTTATCTTCCCTGATCTTTTGAACAAGGACCTCAAACTCATTTCCCGATCCCTCAGATTTCTCTCCGTTTGTAGTCTCATACCACGGGAACATCTAGTAGAGTTTGTGGTGACACATCACTTCAAGTCCTGTAAAACATTCTCTAACAAGATTTTATATGATATCTCTCATCCTCTTTATTCCACCCTCAGTCAGTGCCTTTCTCACTCATCCACCCGTTCCACTCACAAACTTTTAAAGACACACACTGAAGCTCGCCAGATTTCTAACAAACCATGAACTTGTTGCAGGAAATCTGCGCCAAATTAAAAAACTAAATCCATTCTATACACCCGAGTATGCCACTGATTTTGATGTTACTGTCCTTTTTCACGTCCTGTAATTGCTGGGGTTGTCTTTTTCACTTTTTGTTGACACACTATGGTTATGTGATTGCTGAATATCCACCTCTCGAGGTGTATAAAGCCATTCTTTGAATTGACTTGTGTATGATTTTTTTCAACTGAAACGTGAACTCCAGTGCTTACAAAATGTATACATAATACAATACAATACAATTAGTAGTTTGGAATAGAGGAGCCGTACTGAGCGAACGAGTAGAGCAACACCATGCTACACGATGCCTCATCATGCTACGCGATACAACACAGACACAGACAGAGAGAGACTATGAGAGGAACACAGTGAGTGATGCAATCACTCACGCAGCGGAAGTTGAATTGATCAGATCATACACTCAGTGTTTGTGTTAGTTCAAAAGAGTATGGCAAAGGTCGTGGGTGACTTGAAAATCTGTGTTGGGCCCAGGACGAGAGAATCCGATGGAGATTAACAAACTATGTTGAGCATTTGATTTGGTCGCTATAACTGTATGGCTTTATGGCATCTACTTTTGCAAGACGACACTGTCGGACGGTTATGCAAGGATCCGGAGCTACCTTGTAGACAACCCTGAACGGATCTTTGTTTGCCCGGTACCCGTGATCTACGAGAGGCACTCTAATTGCATTGCCTACTTTCGTAGTACAAAATAGTTCATTCTACTTCTTCTTCGTCAGCCTATCGGAGTGGCGGCGACGGCCATCGCCGCCGCAGGGAGAGGAGGATAATTCCAAATGTCGACAATCGTTTAGTGACTCACGGAAACCTTATGTAGTGATCCAGGCTTACACTATGGCGCATACCCTGGAGCGAAGCGTTACAGTTTCAGGACATTGGTGACCAATCAAGGTTGAATGCTGACGTCAATGCCACGTGCATGGCTTCTGAATACAAATCATTGGTGGATGGTGCCAGCCAATCGAAGACAGTGCAAATAGAAGCAAGATCATGCAAGCAGTACTGCAATCCCATTGGTGGAAGCCCAGATAGCCAATAATCTCCCTTTGTGCATGTTATTTAATCACCTTCATTTCTTCCAATAAACAAACCACTGCCTACTACCATTCCTGTGGCCTTTTCCTTACGTCTCGTCCTCGAGGGACATCGCGAGCTCGTGCCATTGCGGTCCAGTGCTTCTGAGATCCAGTCCGTGATAGCTGATTATTGATTCATGTCCTGTGATTCATATTGCGTGGTTGATGTTCGGAATTCCGTGCGTATTACCACGATTACTACAATCATTACACCTTAGCAGAACAAGCGCCACGAGAATAAAACATCATGTATCTGGACCTCTTCTTGACAAGAAATAGCGCATCGATCGCGCAGGGTTTGGCGACTGTGGAGTAGATTGATTGATATAAAATTCTCACTTTGCGTGGGAT